AAGTGGATTTATTGCAACAGGATAGCCAGGAGGGGGTTGTTGCGCTTCACGCCAGATGGAGCAACTTTTTCTGGCTACAGAACCCCGCGATGATGGTGATTTTAGACCTTTTGCTTTCTTACAATGGGGAGGAAAAAGGACATTATTCTTATTAGACACAGGTGCACAAATTACAGCCGTCACTGAAGGAGGGATAGAGACAGGGAAAGTTAGTGGAATATCAGGCGTGACAGGCCATGGAATAGCGTATGAAGTTCTCGGCAACCTAGAAGGGAGAAGGGTTACAGCTTACAGGGTTAAGGGACTCAGACACTGCATTTTAGGCATAGATAATATGAAATATAATTTTTCAGCTTTTGATTTAAAAACTTTGCAAAAAAATCAAAATGTCGCCAATGCCCCTGTCATCCCATTAAAAAAGGGACCTATCTATACACCTCAATTGCCAATCAAGAAAGAGTCACATGCAATCATTGATCAATGGTTATTGGACTTACAGGACAAAGGAATACTCATTAAACAAATTAGCCCACACAATTCCCCTATTTTTGTAGTATTTAGTGGAAGTAAACCCCGTGTAGTAGTCAACTTAAGGAAGGTGAACCAAGCTACAAAGTTTTTGGGAGGAGGAGTGGTGGCACACAAACCTTGTTTAGAGTTACAGGTACGAAAAACTTTGGCGCAGATGACAAATCCTTTTATGGCGGTACTGGATTTAAGCCAAATGTTCTACAGTATTCCGCTGGACAATCCGGAAAGGGTCATGAGTATTACATGGCGAGGGGTCCAATACTGGTTTACTAGATTACCAATGGGATGGCACAATTCTCCCAGCATTGCTTCACAGTCTGTAAATAGCTTACTAACAGGAATTGAGGGCGTTTTTGTATATATTGATGATATTTTCCTCTGCACTGAGGGGAAAGACAAATGCCTACAGTTAATTGATCAAGTTGAAGAACTTTTAAATACCCATGACTTTCGAATTAATTTAGAGAAAAAACAAGGACCAGCCCAGACGATACAATGGTTGGGGAAAACATGGACACCAGAACAAATTAGGGCGGATTTAGCATGGCAAGCTAAGTATCAATGGCAGACGGAATTACAAGTTCCAACTACTAAAAAAGAATGCCAAAGAATTACAGAGATAATCAATTGCGAGACCAACATCATGGAGGTTCCTGTGGACGTTAAACTGCTACCTGCCGGCATTCGTAAAACTGCAGATTTTTCGAAGCTTACTTTGCAGGAAAAATTACGGGAAGGAACACAATTAGCAAATCGCATTTTACATTCTGCTCTGGAATTAACTCACCCACAGCCACTTGTTGTGGCTGATGCTTACATTTTGGTACTTCAAGGTATATACCAAATTAAAGTTTTCCAAAAAGGGAGGCTGGTTTGGATAACAGGTGCCAACATTCCCTCTGCATGGAAAACTCTTACTTATGCAGAACAAGAAGCTTGTGTTTTAACACAACATGGCAGTGGGTTATTAGAATTAGAGATTCGCCAATATCTGATATTTGCTCAATATTTGGATTTGCAATTAATTTGGAATTCAGACTGGAATTACATTTGGCCATGTTTTTCCAAATTAAAGATAGCTCGGAAATTAGAACTGTTCATTTCTTGTGTCAAGGAATTTAATCTGTCAATAGATACCTTTTTGTCGGGTTTTGTGGAATGGCAGTGGGCCAGGATGAGTACTGAAACGGATCCCCCTGCATGGATTTTTTTCCGATGGAAGTAATACAGGGTGTGTGACCGTTTGTCAAAAATGTCAACTAAAAGCCCGGAAATATAACAATGAAAACGCACAGTACAATGAGGGGTTCGGTATCTTATGCGCCTTACAACATTGCGCAATTAATCATTCTTCAGAACAGGTTGTTTTAGGATTAGATACTCAATATGGGATCAACAGACTGTTGATTATCCATAAACCGGAATTTTCTGAAATTACACGTAATCATCAGAAACTCTGGATGGATATTAAAGTGCGAATCCAGAGATTGGATAAAGTTTTGTTCCTGTGTAAATTTATCTCACACAAAGATAAAGCCTCTGATTGGGTAATAGAACCTGCCTGGAACATGACGACCCTGGATTCTGATATTGAATTGGCCAATAGAGTTATGGATATTCATGAGAAATTGGGACATCTGGGACCAGTAAGATTGTACAATTTAATGAAAAAATATGAAATTAATAAACTAGTACCTACGGTCCAACAGGTAAATAATGTTTTAAAATGGTGTGATATTTGTAAAAAATGGAATATACAAGGCACCCATAATAAATGGCAAGCAGGGGCTTATGACCCAGCTAAATATATATTTAAATGAGGCCTGGCAGATTGACCACATAGGGCCATTACAGGGAGCGAAAGACTATAAATATGCTTTAACATGTATCGACCTACCCACGCGTACCTTCATGGTCGTGCCTCAAAGAAATTTAAGTTCCTCTAATACCATTAAAGCCTTACAACTGTGTCTAGCAAGTAAAGGACAACCTAGGCAGATTTTATGCAATAGTTGGCCAGCTTTCACTTCCAGGAAATTTCAAAATTGTGATCATCTTTATCCTCGAATCCGCATACAGTAAGTTGCGCCATATACCCCGCGGAGTAACAGGGTAATAGAGAGGGCAAATGGAATCTTTAAGACCTTGTTGCGAAAGGAATTAAATTCGGAAAATTTTAAAGGATGGACCAAAATTTATTTACTGTGTGTAATTATTTACAATTTAAGTTATGGTTTAAATTATGTCCCATTTCCTCAGACGACAGTACAAAGGCATAGAAACCAGCTAAAATTTCTGCCTGGTACTGAAACTTGTTTCGCATTCCTCAGTCCAAGGCCAGACAATGGGGAAAAGTTTTTGAATGGCTGTCATCTATAATTGTGCGGCTCAAAGACTCCGAGGGGAAGGAACATATTGTACATGTTACAAAATGCAAGTTCCTCCAAAAGTAATCGAGAAGCGAGTGCTTCCCTTGTGTTTAAATTGCAGGAAGAAGAAAAATATCGTCATTATGGAAAGCATCAGAATATTTCTATGTATCCTGGGATGGTTTGTCCTAATGAATGCTGAAGATAAGTGTACAGACTGCACACAAGATTCGATATGTTGGGTTAATACGACATGTTTTATAGTACTCAATGGAATTAACTTTAATACCGACCTCTATACGCAATGGATTAATGATTTGGGCATTCCTGCAGGATGTTTCGGACATTTCTACTGTAAGTTAGACGGGAACAGAACTCTGATTTATAATCTTACAGGAATGGATGGACTGACTTTAAATACACCCATTGGAAAGCTTACAGTTTTTTGGACTATGAACCAATGTAACATAACTGATGCAGTTCTTCAGAATTGGAAAATTCCTTGGACTTTTTATCAGTGCTCAGTCCCAGTGATTCAACAAAATAATCCTATAAGAAGATATTGTAATGGTACTTGGAACCCTTTATGCTCATATAATGTCACTAATTGTAATTATGTAAATACTACAGGTACTTTTGTTAAATTACCTGAAACCTGTTATTCAACCTTTGAACAGGTATTATCTCATAAGTGGTGTGAAAAAGCCAATATTACTGTCAAAATAGTTAATTTACCATTAGGAAAAGGGTGTCGGATATATAAAACTTTTCTCTTATCCCAGGAACTTCTAAGTATGAGCAAAGTAAAAACTACTCAGGTAGTTATCCTGTACTAAATAGTATGGACTTATCATGGATCTGGTATAAATCTAATTGTTGGGAAAGAAATATGAATAACTGTTCACAATATAATAATTGTTCTTCATGCTTTTACTTAAACGATTTTACATATGTGCACGGAGCTACTGGTATGGTCTTAGGAGCAGATCAACCATATCGGATAAGGCAAGTGGAAGGATACTATATCATAGACCCCGATACATGGCAGATAGCTTCAGCTGTCAATGAATGAAGCACTACCCAGAATGAGACATCTTTAAATGCTTCATTATGGTATGCTCAACAACACTGGAAATTAAACTTAACATTAATATTACCTCATAATAATTTGACAGAATTACATTCAATTGTAGATTGTTACCGAAGTTCTATGAATCCCCCACAAAAAATTACACTAGAAGTGGTCTGTAAGCAAAAAAGATCACTAGCTCAAATTAGCCAATTGGCAACAACCAAACATAACATTGAATTATTACAGAGCATTGTTACGTATACCCAAAACTTGGGAAGAAAGGTGCAACAATTAGTTTCCATTGACTTAGATCAAGTAAACCGAACTTCAATATATGGAAGAGCATTAC